GATCGACAGACAGACAGACAGACAGACAGACAGACAGACAGACAGACAGACAGACAGACAGACAGACAGACAGACAGACAGACAGATAGATAGACAGACAGACAGACAGACAGACAGACAGACCAAAATATATAAAGCTTAACAGACAAACGAAAGAGATAGACAAACTAGACAAATCATTGAGTGATGACCGTAAACATCTCAAGATTTGAGAAGCTTGTGGGTGGTTGGGTGGATTTGGAAAATGAGTTTGGGGGGGGGGGTGAATAAACTAGGACATAAATTTAGGACAATATGAGCTGTGAGTGAGTGAAGTTGTAAAGCAAACCAGAGAACTATGAGTAAGATAAATCCTTGAAAAGATGATGACCGCACAGGATCACCAGATGTTCCCCCATCTGAGCTCTCCTACCTTTGCTCTTGGAGTGGTGGGTGGCGTTGTGCAGCATGTGGCTGAGCCTCATCTTGACCGTGGGCGAGCCCACAGTGACCATCTCCCCGCGCCGCTCCCCGCCCTCCCCTGACGCCGTGGTCAGTGGCTGGTGGGCGGCCGCAGTGAGCACAAGATCTAGCTGTCTGGGCTCTTCAGCGGTAGGACACGGGATGCAGTCTTGTCAACAGGGTATCCGCTACTGTTGCTGTAGTTGTCTTGTTACTCCAATCTGCCGCTGCGGCTGTTGCTGCAGTTGCTGTTGTCTTGGTACTCCAATCCGCTGCTGTTGCTGTTATTGTTGTTGTTGTCTATTACTCCAATAGGTATGTCCATGCGAAACTCCCGAAAACACAGCACGCGATAATCTATTTCAAATCACCACACGCCAGGCCCTTCGTATCGTCACTATTTCCCCACTGTGATCACCTTGCGCTTGTGTTTAGCGGGTACAGGTCACAGGATGTTGCTTTTGTGTCAGTTTATAGTTCCAACAGCTCTAAAAATCCGAGATTCAAACCGATACACACTTGAGAAATGGCCCTAGAAAGAAATTGTACAACACGTAAAGCATTATAATAATGTCAAGACAGCAAAGCAAAGAGCAATGCATAAATACATCTTAGTGAATCAAGAAAGATAGTAATGGCAGACGAAAAAACAATTAAATAACTATTATTCCATCAACGCTTCACAAATTCAATTTTCCTACGGACAACACGCTTATTGGGTGAGTGTCCACAATAGACAGTGTTCTTACATGGTATTCTCACAACAGATAGAACAACAGATAAACAACACACTAAGTGAAAACTCAAAATAAGAAAGCACAAAAACACTTAGATCCAAGCCAAATGGACACTGGATATACAGAGCACCACCTTTTCAGGAGAGGGTAAATTATAAACAACAGATAAGCGACTGGAAACGGAAAAGACAGACTTGCGAGCAATGTAAAAGAGTAGAAATCACAAATCATGCTCTTCATTGGTGCCAATACCAACAACGCACATTCCAGAGGCAGCTTTTCCAAACTGCAATCTCGCATGTTTATCTCAATCAAAGACGGCATCAAGGTATACACGGTACAACAGAAAAGAATTAAGGATCAACTGTCTACGTCTGATTCAATCTAATGAACATAGTAATTGTTTTCGCCTGTCTTTTTATAGGCAGTCGAAACGGCTATGCTTGAGAAAAGAAAAGATAGTTTCGTAAAAAAAAAATGGCTGTACACATACAGAGGGTAGTTTTTTGTTTGTTTTGTTGTTTTGTTTTGTTTTGTTTTTGTTTTGTTTGTTTGAGGGGGGGGGGTGCTGATGGTGAAAAAGACAGATCTGAGTCTCGATTCTTTTTCCTGACTGGAAGATCGGTTAACTCTTGGAAGAAGCTTTCTCCCTACTTATTTTCTTGCTTGTTTGTTTGTTTGTATGTTTATTTGAGTAAAGAGAAGCAAAGTGACGCAAAAATAGTCATTTAGTCCTGGTAAAAAGCAAGGCAGACAGACAAGCAACAAAGGAAAAGTCAAGAAGTAGGACCTGCCAGTGGCGCTCTCCCAACACTCGCGAGACAAGAACACACATGCACCCATATCTAACAGTTTTCTTAAAGAAAGAGGGAGAGAAATGACAGGCAGGCAGACGGGGGTTTTTTACGCCCCCATCAACACAGGTTCATTTAGGAGGCGGGCATCCGACCCTGCATGCCAAAGCCAACCTGGGTTAAGAAGGGTGCAAAATCTCAGTAGAAAGACAGAGGTGCTTGGAATAAGTTTTCCCAACTCGAGAGAAAGAAAAGGAGTAGGACCTATCAGAGACGCTCCCCATCCAAAGTCAAGTAACAGAGAAAAGCTAAAAATGAACGGCAGAAACAACAATTCTTAAAAGGAAAAGCAGGGAAGATGTGAGAACAAACAAGGGACAGACAGACAGAAAGACAGAAAGACAGACCGACAGACAGACATATTGACAGACAGACAGACAGACAGACAGACAGACAGACAGACAGACAGACAGACAGAC